ATTAAGTCTTTTTTTTTTAATTCAATACATCTATACTTGATACTTGTTATAAATATCCTCAATGTACAGTGTTTGTGTTGTAGGTCTCAGATGAGTGGACTGCTGGAAGAGGATGGGGTGGGGTTTTTCTTGTTTTTAGTTTTTTTTAAATGTGTGGGTTTTCATTTCAAATAAAAATAAACTTATATTGACCCCACACTGGCTATTCTACTTGTTGCTCTTTACGTATCTATAGTTCTACATTGTGATTTCCTATCCTGTTTGAGCACTGGTTATCCAGCACTGGTTATCCAGATTTGGTGATCCTGAAAAGTTCCTATCCGGATCAGATTGATCCAATCCGATGTTGCTTTAAAAAACTGGCTCCAAAAGTAAGCTGGATTACGTGATCACGGATCGCAAAAAAAGGATTACTAAATCTGGATCAATTTTATCCGGATTAAACCTTTTGAAAAACCGGGCCCAGGAGTAAATTACATTTTTAATCACATTAGAAAATGGTCCTTTTAAATTTTATTAATATTACAGTAATTGTAGTAATTGTCTTTACGGTCCCACTTTATGCAGTATTAACTAAGTGGCCTTAACTACTAATGTACTTACATTTAAATTAATAATTTGATGCAGTGCACATATTGTGTACGTACATGTTTTTACCTTGTACTTATATTTTTAAAAAAAATACCTACAGGTAATTACATCTGTAATTAACCTAGCCATACCACCAAACCTGTCCCTAACCTTACCTGTATCCCACCACAACATCAGCAAAAGTGTTTTGCAGTAGAATATGAACACAATAAGTACATTGTACTTATTTTTTTGATGCAGGTACATAGTAGTTAAGGCCACCTAATATAAAGTGGGACCGTCTTTACCATTTGTGTGATCAAATAAGAGCAGCTTTGGTGAGCATAAGTGTCTTCTTTCAAAGTCTTAGTTAAAAATTCTGACTCCAACCTTTTAAATGGTAGTATAACTCTAAAAATACTGAATGATTTCGGTGTTTTGTATATTATGTAGAATGCCCTCAAGAATGAAGATGGTGAGATCGATGAAGGGGCACCAAATGTCCGTAAAGACCGAAGGAAACTGACACCCAGCGAGCAGGAGGGGAGGAGGAGCCGACGGTCATCTTCTCACAATCTTACAGATAGTTCCTTTCGACCAGCTTCCCCAACTGTATCAGTCTCGTCTAACAGCCCTACCCCAGGTATCTTCAATGCAGTCTCTCTCCGTCCCTGTTCTTGTACCTTGTGCTGTCCTCTGAAGGGCCTGTCTCACACATCCAGCATCTGCACATTGTCATTTCAGACATAATGTTAAAAGACTATAGCATTCATTCACACTTCACTTGCACCTTTTGTGTTTCAGAGGTGATGCAAACAGCCTCCCCTCAGCTGTCAGATTCCTCTTATTCTCCTGTTCCTGGCAGTCCTGTGTTGACCAGTCCCTCCTTTATGACCCCTGGCTCTCCCACTCCTCCTGTCACTCCGGCGACTAATGGAGCAGAGTCTACAGCTACAGCTGAGCAGGAACACAACTTGTGAGTATTAACAGTGCAAATATGTTTTGTATTACTAAGCTTTTCAATAATCTAACAGCAAGGATGCATTGAAGGACTTTCATACAGCAATGTGATGTTTCTCCACTGTGTGGCAGCGTAAACTAAGCAGACCTTTCAGTCGTGACACTGTAGGAAAGAAAAGGTTTAATAAAGGATGATTTGTAGCCTTCACAGATGTGAATCCATTCTGAGATAGATTATTCAAGTAAGGAAAATTTGTGTCTCAAATTTTGTTCATCTCATGGATTCAATTCATGTTTGGATTGTATGGATTATTAAGGCAACAGCTTTTCTGTTTTGTGTAATGCACAATAATTAATTTTAAAACATATCCACGGCAGTCCCTTTCATTTTTCCCCCCAGTTTTAGATTTAGCAAATTTAGTACTTCAACTTAGTTGACAAAGCAACATTTCTATTTATTAATTTATTGATTTATTGAACATGACACAGACACCAGTATGGATAAATTTTTTTGTTTGTTTTTATTTATATAAAATTAATGAAAATGACACCCACACCAGTATGGATTTTATTATTATTTATTTTAAATTCATTAATTAATTATATTTATTTAGTTAGTTAGTTAGTTGGCTGGTTAGTTAGGCGTTTTTTTTTTTTTTTTTGCCTGACCAAACATTCCTTCCAGATTTGTGTTTGTTGTTTGACTCTATGTATTTTTGTCCTGTGTGGATGAGGGTATGATAAAGACACAATCCTGCACTCTGATGCTGTCTTCTTTATGTAGACACACAGCATTTATTCACACACTGTTGTTGTCATCAGTGCTGTCTTTTAATGAAATGTTTGTCACGTTTGAAATACTATGATTAGCACCTTCCTACTTTACCTACTGTGTCCAGCCTAACTGTGAATCTGCTATATGTTGCACGGTCATTATCAGAGTCTTTACACATGCCAGTGATTGATACATGCAACATTAGTGGTAAAAGTGATGAGTATTAATTTTCCTGTCTGTGTAGGTGAAGTCCTTAGACAGGTGACCTATTACTTTGATTCATGTAGTTAATGCTTATTTTATTTACTATGCTCTGGGTGTCTTATGTAATTACCATGTGGCACCCAAGATGCACCACAAAATGATCTACCATTCTCATTTTTCATAAACCATTTCTAAAAACTTAATTGTGCATAGAAAATATAGGCTACTATTTTGTTATATTGATAATGCAGATCTGCATCACACGTGAGTAAACAGCGTTACGTTCTAGTTACATGTATGCATATAAGCTTGTGAATTTCATTTTACATTTTCAGATTGTCAGGTTTTTCTGGTTTTTGTAGATGGGTATGTGAGAAGTTTTGGTTGGCTGCTTCTCCCAGTTTGCCCAAATCACAATGTGCTATTTCAAATGTTGCCTTTGGCCAAAGTGAAATGTCTTATTGAGTCAACAGTCCTTGCACATATATGTGGAAAGTGAATGTTTTATTTGGGAAGCTTTCCTCTCTGCGTAGAGCTACAGGAATGTTTTCTAGGGTTGGCCAGGATGTGTTTGGTCTTAAAGGTCCAGAACTGGGCACAATTGTGATCAGCCTATCAGCTCTCTTGATCTGAGCTTGTGTTTTCCTCTAAATATTTTGCTATTTTTATGTGACATCACAAAGGATCATGACCAGTCATAAGCACAGGCATTAAATCCAATAATACTGCAGTTTATACTTTATTTTTTACAAGATATGATCACTTTAACTGCATATACCTAGTTTTATGCATATGCATACATAGTAGTACATAATTAAATGGCATAATTTATATATAGAATACATAAAGTTAGCATTATTTCTAAAACATCCATGTCGCATAAATGATCTTTAAGGAGAAGTATTTGTAATATTTGGCTAACACTGGTAACCATTCACTTTAGTGTATCCTTAATTATAACAATTTCTGTTCATATGCTGTTTTCCTCCTCTTCTAATTCAGTGCTGCATAATTTCTCAGTGGCTCTGGGTGGTTGGGACTGTTTCTCTGATTCTTGCTGATGTTTTGGTCTTGTCAACATATTAACCCTCTGTTTGTCCATGTAACCACCACCACTGTTCCTCCTCTTTCTCTCTACTTCCGTTTCTTCCCTCCCACAATTCCTTTGTCATTCACTAGGGGGCGCTCTTTTATGAGTCACTACATAGCTCACATGGGGATTTCTAGACGGAGGTTAAAAAAGGAGAGGTCTATAACAGAGGGAACCTCCAGCATCTCCAGCAGGTCTGTATCACATTTAAATCACTTTCTGCTTTTGAGGACTAATTGTTTGGTATTTGTTGAACTTGTCCTGGCTACTGATCTGATGCCAGTTTAGAGCTCATATTATATTCAAAGTAATCTGGATTTTGGTTTGAAGTTGTAGATCAGCAAGCCAGAGTAACTTCAACAATAAATTCATCTCATTTCAAACTTTCCTGAACTAACAATAATTACAACATATAACTCTCATGCACATGTAATAGTTTTTTTTCCAGTGTCTTTTTTAATATCTGACATTTGACAAGGTGCATCACAAATATACAGTGGGGCAGAAAAGTATTTAGTCAGCCACCAATTGTGCAAGTTCTCCCACTTAAAAAGATGAGAGAGGCCTGTAATTTTCATCATAGGTATACCTCAACTATGAGAGACAAAATGAGAAAAAAAATCCAGAAATTCCATCAGAGAATGCCGAAAATGTATCAACAGTAATAATAATAAGTGTGTATTGGACACCATTTCTGAAGGATCATGTGATGCTGAAGACTGGATTAATGGTAAAAATTCAGTTTTACCATCACGGGAATAATTTACATTTTAAAATGTATTAAAATAGAAAACGGTTATATTGTTCAAATGCACAATGTTACTGTATTTCTGATCAAATAAATGCAGCCTTGTTGGTAAGAGACTTGCTGACCCCCAAACCTTTTAACGGTAGTTTATGTCGAAATTAACCAAGATTAATAAATGCTGTGAAGTTATTCGTTGTTAGTTCATTTTATCGAAAACATTAACATATGTTAACCTTATTTTAAATTGTTTTTCTCAAAGGAGCTGTATTAACATTGTACCTGTAAGGAAAGCAGAATATGAAAATTAGATGAAACAAAGCAATGTGCCTTCAAATGTTGTGTATTTTGGAGTGGATGGAGAGAGACGCACATTTACTGACATGCACATTCTTTTTGTGTTTGTGTATGTGTGGACCTGATTTACATCAAACTGCCCATAGTGTGCTATAGCCTTTAGCATGCACTAACTAACTGTCTCTCCACAGAGAGTCTTTCACAGCAACAGACTCTCCTCAGGAGGTCCCTTCCCAGACGGGAGCAGAGCAGCCCAGCCAGACGGAGGGAAAGCGAGTCTTCAAGTAAGTAAGCAACTGATCCTGTGATACTGAAAAGGCGAGGTGTAGCAATAAGAGAAGGCAGGGCATGGGAATATTTTGGGAAGAACTTGAAGGTCTTGAAGGAGCAAAACAAGGATGAGTTGAATGGTGTGAGCTGTTTTGAACAGTGTGATCAGTGATAATTTATATGGGAATCTACTGTTAACTGTGCAGTTATAGGAAAATAGGTAAGTCTTCCATTTTTGAGGTGTCAAAAAATACTGAATTTACTAAATGTTAAAGTGTTTAGTTAATTGTTCTCAACTTATAACCTTAAAACTATCTGGAATTGCTACACTGAGGAGTATTCCTCTTATCTTCCCTCTAATGCCTAGGATCAGGTGTTTCTTACTTTTATCTTTCTACTTCTACTCAAATATTCTTTGCTTGTATTTTTTGTAACAGATTTGCTTTCTTTAATATGTTCTTTGACTGGTCTATTTTTCTTTCTGTTTTTGCCAATTACCTAATTTACCCATCTTGTTTTCTCTCTGTCTCCTTTTGTGTGTATTCTCTCTCTTTCTCCCCTGCACCTTTCACGCCTCTCTTCTCTTCTCTCATAATATTTGGCACATCTCCTAATCTCTTCCTCCACTGCTGTGGCACCCAACATTCCTGTGCTTTGCTTTTCTCTCTCCTTTTACAGACAGCAGCAGGCAGACAGTGTTTGGTGAGTAGCTGCAGTGTGGCCAAAGAATGTGGCTTTTGGAGGTGCTAGCACTTTAAATCATTCTGATGCTTAGTCATTTTAGGGAGACAAAGTCATAGAGGGAGAATTGGAGGAAATAACTACTGGCTGGAAATTTGAGAATAAATTGAATCGATCCATTATATCTGCCAAAGACTAATCCACAAAAAAAAATTTCCAACAAAATTAAGAAGTTTTAGTAGATATATTTAATGTATGTTTAACTTTTTAAACTATCATTTTTTCTTTTATAGTTTGCTATGCTACTTGGATATTTATGATATCATATATATTTAGCAACGTTCAGAAGTGAGATAATTACTTTTATTGTCATGAATGGACAATAATTCTTTCCTCTGTGGCCTCTTCCCCCTCATTGTCATTCTTTATTCTTTAAAGTTCTTCTTTCATCTCAAGTTGCTACTCAAAGATGCCTTTATCTTCTGCCTTTTTATGGGCTGCAATCATATCCCCATCCATGGAAAAAAAATTGCTATTGTTGAAATTGCCACAAAAAAGAAAATTTACAAAGCAGTTTTTTCAAAGCTTAAAAGCCAAAGTAATACCAGATGTGGTGTAATGTGAACAGGTTTTTCTAAAGGTATTTTCTATACATTTAATGAGCCTTGTGTAGTGTAGTGAACAGGAGTGATATGGGCAACGTGTGTAAATTGAAATGTTTTTCTTCAGGCTTGTATGCGTGTCATCCGGTTTATGTCAAGCATAGATAGGAAGTTGCCTAACTTGATTAATGTTGTAAGGTTGGGATGAACTTTTTTTTGTTCTTCTGGAATCATGGGTCCTACAGGGACTTAATTTGCTAATTAAGTGTGAGGTGATTGATTGTTATGGAAGCAGAAATGGGGGTTAAGAGGAATAAAGGTAAAATAAAATCTAAATATTACATGAAAATAATATTTTAATTAAAAATGACAAAAGCACATAACTAGAACTTAATGTTTTAAAATTAAAACAGAAAATATAAAAATAAATGCTAATTCAAAATAAATAATGAATGCCATAGTATATAAATAATATTAAAACTAATATTAAATTATTTTGAACTTCCTTTGGCGACTCTGTGATCCTTGTTAACAAACACATTTTCTCAAATCAAAACTGAGTAGATGTGTGAAGTAGAAATGGTTAATTTCGACACAAACTACCGTTAAAAGGTTTGGGGGTCAGCAAGTCTCTTACCAACAAGGCTGCATTTATTTGATCAGAAATACAGTAACATTGTGCATTTGAACAATATAACCGTTTTCTATTTTAATACATTTTTAAAATGTAAATTATTCCCGTGATGGTAAAACTGAATTTTTACCATTAATCCAGTCTTCAGCATCACATGATCCTTCAGAAATGGTGTCCAATACACACTTATTATTATTACAGTTATGTGAACTTTTATATGGAATTATGTAAAGTTTTTGTATGGTTTACAAAAACTGCTAGATGTTTCTATGTGAATTTTTCTCTTTTTTTTCAGTGTTTTCCAATGTGTGTATGTGTGTGTCTTGCAGGATCTATTAGTGGTCAGGAATCTGAAGAGGTAAACTTGACCAGGCACACCCTGGAGCAGCCAGAGGACACAACAACAGCCCACAATGAAGCAGGCAAGAAATTCCATTCCTACCACAACCCTCTGTCTCTGTCATTCTCTATGTCATTCATACTGCTGCTCTGTCTGCCTAAGACATGAGCAAACAGTGTCTTCCACATGCCTAATTCAAAGCTAACCCAGCCTTCACTCTTAAACAAGAGTTCAGTTGTATTTCTGTTGTTCAGTTGTATTCATTGGCTTTTTGAGACATTTCGTTTAAAATTAATTTAAGAAGCAACTTGTTTCTTTAACTAAGCATCTGTTGACAAGTAGGTTTCGTAACCTGGTTTCTGCCCATTGAAAATCTCTTGACACTGAGCAGTAGTCAAGCACTTCTGTGTGAGGGCTTCTTTGAGAAGTCAAGAGCTTTATTTCAAGCAGAAATCTTCAAAGTGGAAATATGTGAGAGTGATTCCTACTCTTCCTCTAGTGGCCGTGCTCCAAATGACACAGCCGCTAACAGGCCTTTCTTCCAGGGAATGTAAATTAGCTGAAGTAGAGGGCAGAGATGTAAACTGTTTAGATTTGGAGATGGGGATCTCTGTTTTGGCATGTAGAGGTTTTAGGCAGTTAGCACTACAATGCCTTTAGAGCCCAGATGAGTTACTGCTATTAGTCTGCACTGGGTTACTGAAACTAGAGGATGGTAGCCTGTGGGAACAACATGATCTGTGCTTGCACTGGGCATTTTGAAGGTAGGATGTCTCTTTTAGCCTGCTGCTATTATGCTGAAAAAATATTTCTGCTTGATTACAATGCAAATGGCAACACTGCTATGTTGCATACTGTACTTTATAGGAATTCACAATATACAAATTCTGACCAATATCAATAAGCAGATTTATTTTCATGTTTCATTTCAAATGTCATTTTAAAATTCTGGACAATTTTTTTTTATAGAATTTTCAATCAATTGAATATAAAACACAAAAAAACTTAAATCAGTCATTGTAAATTGCTACAAATGAATTTAGGCATCATAACATTTATAACACACAGTACAGTAGTACAGTATGAAAATGGATATTAATTTTGAGATTTACTGAAGATTACATTTAACTGTGGTCTTAAGTTGTTTTTCATACACAATTTTTTATTCAGTATAATCTATATACACTTTTTCAGTATATAATTTTTTGTTTGTTTTTAATACTTGTGTATTTTGGACATGCAACAATGTTTATTATAGAACAACCATAATACGCATTTTCTTTTTCTTGTCCATGGACTGCAGATGAAATTTAACTCTGTAGATAATTCTAGGGCAGTTATGTCCATTGTCTGTTAATTAAAATACTAAATAAATAAAAATATTCCGTATCAACCGTTACTGATAAATAATGATACAAAAAAATACTACTCTATACTGTATGGTACTGATATATTGTGTATCCCTAATATTTTTCCTTCAGCACTGAATGGTTTTAATTTTTTAATTTTTTTTATTTTTTTGTTCCTCTAGAGGGGGGTTTGCAGCGTCAGGGCAGTGCAGCGGAACAGCACAGCACCCTCTCTAATGACAGGAAGTTCATGTTGGATATGCTCTACTCCAAAAACAACACCACCTCTGGAGGCCTAAAAAGTCCTGGTCTGGAAAGTGGACCACTTGAGGACCATGGGATCACCAGTATGGCCGGACGGCTCTCCAGACTGCAGTCTTGCACTTCTCAGCCCACAGAGGACACATCCAGGTGGGCGGACCTGGAGATCCCTGAAGGTACTGCTCAGGCTGCTCGCACCAGGCTAGCAGAGGAACAGAGCAAGAAGCTGCGTCCACAGTACAGTATTGAAGCGGAGACTCATTCACAGAGTTTAGAGAAGACCATGATGACGCCATTATCCAGGGGTAGTCAGGATGCCTGGGAGAAGCTGCAGCCCAGCTCCAGACCTCTGCGGATTAAAGATCTTGACTTCTCCGATCTGATGGAGGAGGAGGATATCGATGTACTGGATATAGACACTTTTGACACTGGTTTGCCTTATGGATTACCGCCGCCCCCTCCTCCAGTGCCAGGACTGGGCTCAGCCCCCCCACCGCCGCCACCCCCTCCTCCTCCTGGACCTGCTGGTCTGGCTCCACCCCCTCCTCCTCCACCTCCTCCTGGAGGTTTGAGTGTGCCTCCTCCACCTCCAGGACTCCTCCTTCCGTCCCCGTCTCAAGGGAATGATCCGGCTATTCTAAAGAAACGGAAAACGGTCAAGCTGTTCTGGAAGGAGCTTAAGCAGCCCGACAGCCCCAGGAAGTGCAAGTTTGGGCGGGGCACAGTTTGGGCTTCACTTGATAAGGTTGCAGTCGATACAGCTAAGCTGGAGCACCTGTTTGAGTCCAAGGGAAAGGATCTTCCAGTAGCAAAGGTGCAATGGGCAAACTTTTTTTTCCCTCCTTGATCAGTATTTATTTAAATTCTTTAATAATAATAATAATAATAACAATAATAATAATAGGAAGAAAAATTATAATTATTTTTAGTTTTAATCATTTATTTTTACAAATTCATCCTTGCACATTTGTTTGCATTTACAGTGAATGTATACAATCTTATGCATCTTATACCTACAAGTAACAAATAGCATACGTATGCCAGACAACTCAAACTGGCAAGCTTGTTTAAGAATAAAATATTCAGGGTTACACAACAATAAAAATTTACTAAAGTTATTTTTCTATCAAAAGATGATAGGTCACCTCACTGGGGGAATGCTGCTATTGAATATATGGATGAATAAATGTTAAAGCAACAACTTTTTTTATGGCCAGCGCATGCTAAAAATGGTTCTATAATTCTCCTACAGAAAAGTGCTGAGATCAAGAAAGCAGCCATTTTAGTGCTTGATCCAAAGAGGAGCAATGCCATCAACATCGGCATGACTGTTTTGCCTGCTATACATGTCATTAAAAGTGCCATCCTCACCTTTGATGAGTTTTCCATCAGTAAAGAGGGCATTGAGGTAATGTAGCACTAGCGTCCACCATCAGGGGTCAGTAGAAGCTTGTTTAATTTGTTTAAACATTCCCACATTTCTGTATTGAGCATAAATATCAGTATTTTTTTCTTTTTATAATTAATTATTATAAAATTAAGAAAGATTTGAAATGATTATTTTGTACATTACAAATCTGAAGTAAAATATCCTCTGCTTCTATCCAACTGTAGAAAATCCTGACCATGATTCCAACTGATGAAGAGAAACAGAAGATTCAGGAGGCGCAGCTGGCCAACCCTGATGTACCGCTGGGCACAGCAGAGCAGTTTCTGCTCACTCTCTCATCCATCAGTGGCCTCACGGCCAGATTACAGCTCTGGGCCTTTAAACTGAACTATGAGACCCTGGAGAAAGTCAGTGCCCTACGACAATTAATCCTCTTTTTATACTAAGTTTATACTTAGAATGAAAACCTGTTTACTCCAGTAGCATGATCATAATAAAAGGATTAATCGGCTAAAGCGTTACAACTATGTTAGTTCTAGTCTGTTGTATTAAACCATGCAGAGGTGACCATTTAAAAGTAATACAAATAATTTATTCCTGTGATGACAAAGCTGAATTGTCAGCAGGTTTTACTTACTATTTTCTGTAAACTATTTATTTAAGGATTCTTTGATGAATAGAAAGAATAGCCTGACCCCAAACTTTCAGTAGTGTATTTGTAAGCATTAGATTATTGTTGTTATTATTTTATATATATATATATATATATATATATATATATATAAATCTGTGAAGTCTGCTGAAAATCTGTGAAAGCTGTATTTGAAGCAATTGTAAAAATGCTCATAAATGCACCTAATGCTGCATTGCTTGGCACCCTTAAAATTATACAGTTAATGGATTTATATCAATTGGTCGAAGCATTGTTTACACCTATTATAATAAATGTAATTGTCTATAGAACATTAGTGTATTTTATCATAATATATATTGCTAGTGTACTACAGTATAATGTCGAGATTCTATTTATCTATTTTTACATTGGAAAAAAAAAAACGTATTCACAGCCTCAGTGTTTCAGTATTGCATTGTAGTGACAAACATTCGTTCTTAATTTCTCTCTTTCTGTCATTCTTCTATCCCTCACACATGAATGTTGCAGGAGATTGCAGAGCCTCTTTTTGACCTGAAACTGGGTATGGAACAACTCGCCAAGAACAAAACCTTCAAGCGTATCCTAGCAACACTACTGGCCATTGGCAACTTCCTCAATAGCTCCAATGTAAGTGCTCCATCTCCTCCACAGTGAGTCCTAGGAGCAGAAATACCTTTAAAGCACCTGTATTAAGGGCAAGTGCTGCAGTCTGGAGCTTGATGGACACATGTGATTAGTCAGAGCAGCTCTGTTCTGATGCCTTAATCTTTTGCTTTTGCCTTGTGGAAGATAAGATATGATCAAGACGCTGCATGGCATGTTTTCTGTGCTGAATAATGTCACAACCTCTTGAACTCTTCAAACTCGTATACACACAAGTAGTGAAGACACTCTGTACTACGATGTGTAGAACACTTTCGTTTTGAACCATGGCAGACAGATCAAACTGGTTTTTGATTTTAAAGGGATAGTTCACCAAAAAATTTTAATTACCCCATGATTTACTCACCCTCAAGCCATCCTAGGTGTATATGACTTTTCTCTTTCAGATGAATACAATCAGAGTTATATAAAAAAAATGTCCCGGCTCATTCAAGCTTTATAATGGCAGTGAATAGTGGTCGAGATTTTGAAGGCCAAAAAAAGTGCGTCCATCCATCATAAAAAGTGTAATAAAGGCCTTCTGAAGCGATTCTATGCATTTGTTATACGGAATAGTTGACCCCAAAAATGAACCTTTTCTCATCAATTCAGGCTCTCTTAAGCTTTACTTAGAATAAAAAGAACATTTCACATATTCAGAAATATCATTCGTTTTAATGAGGTCTTTATAGCTTGCTGTCTGTTGCAATGCCATCTTAAAAACTTGACAGTTAGCGGTTAATAACTGTTCAGCACATGATGTCCTTTAATTTGTGCCACTCGATTTAATGAGTAGCCATGTTAATATTTTTTCCCACCAGTTGCCAACAAAGCTAATGTAGTATTTCATTGAACATCACATAATGACTTTAATTGGCAGTTCTTGGCTCTCTGGCAGGCTAAGGGCTTTGAGCTCAGTTATCTGGAGAAGGTTACTGAGGTGAAGGACACAGTACACAGGCAGTCTCTGCTTCATCATACCTGCAATTTTGTGGTGGAAAACTACCCAGATACGACAGACCTTTACTCTGAGATCCCTGCTAACACACGCTCTGCTAAAGTAGGTGACTCAGACGCTTTATATGCATTTTTCATTTCTTTGTTCTGTTTGTCTTACCTTTTAGATGTAATAATGTTCAATTATTTATTAATTGGTGCTGGGATTTTCATTTCATTGCTCTCTTCTAGGCTTTTATAGTAGCCGTTTTTTTTTCTATAGCACATCTTGTAAAGGTCGCCATTGTAATTAATGAATAAACTGCTGTGTTCATTGGTTTATTTTTTGTTCTGTTTCTCCTTTTAAAGGTAACTATGCTAATAACACAGTTTACCTTCATAATTTATCACTACCTCCTTTCTTTTCCCACAGGTGGATTTTGAGCAGCTGTCTGAAAACCTGATTCAGTTGGAGAGAAAATGCAAAGCATCTTGGGACAACCTTAAAGTAGTGGCCAAACATGAAACTAAACCTAACTTGAAAAACAAAATGACAGAATTTCTGAAAGACTGTACTGAAAGGATCATCATCCTGAAAGTAGTGCATAGGCGCATTATTAATAGGTAATAAAAAAACACACTGCAATACATTTTATACTTCAACATGTTAAATTAAAAGATACCAACTTCATTTGGATGCTTCCCGTAAGTTGATGAGCTTCAATGATTGTGCCTAATTTTTTAAATTAGGATTAACTGGAGCATACAATATATTACTTGTACTTCCTTCACTTTGCAGGTTTCATTCCTTCTTGCTGTACTTGGGTCAGCCCTCATACTCGGTGCGGGACACTAAAGTAACTCAGTTCTGTAAGATCATCAGTGAGTTTGCCCTCGAGTACCGCACCACACGAGAGAGAGTCCTCACCCAAAAACGCAAACGTGCCGTCCACCGCGAGCGCACCAAGACCCGGGGCAAACTGATCACTGAGGTGTGGAATGGAAGCTCTTGAGGAAAATCACCAACTGAAAACATACTTTGACTACACTAAGATGTCCTCTGATTTTAGTCCACTAACCTAATTCCACCACATATAATGTTTAAGTCTTTTTGATATAATTTTTAAAACCATTTTAATGATTATTGCTCATGTACTTCCAGTTTACGGTTATGGTCTTGAGTTTACACATACCTTGTAGAATCTTAAAAATGTTAAAAAGCTTAACAAAATAATAGGAATAATAATAGCTGAATATTTATTTAAATTACCCTGTTCAAAAGTTTACATATGCTTGATTCTTAATGCTATGATTTTTTTATTAAAATTTTTTCCCCTGGATGAGCCACAGCTTTTATGTTTGGGATAGTCCTGGGCAGTTCAACTGATCTTCAGAAAAATCCTCCAGGAGTGAAATTTTTTTTCAATACAAGGATTAGGTTAAAGTGTCCTTATTTTGTGTGGCTTCTGAAGGGCAGTACTGAATAGAAAAAAAATAGCTCTTTAAACAAAATAAGAGACAATTTCACAACTTCATAATTTCAGTGCCATCAAGATCATTGCTAGACATAGTCCACCTCTGAACACTCCACAGTATAAAGCATTTAGCCGGCCCCCTCAGCACAGGGCCTGGGACAATTTTCTCAGTTGTCCTCCCCCTGACGACAGCCCTGATTGACATTATGCCACAAATGTTGTCAATAGTGCTTAACTGGTATTGAACTCAGATCATTCATTTGAGGGAATGAACCAATTCATGGTCCTCTCCACAACCCCACTGTATCACCCTCAATCGTCAATTAGTAGATTGAGAAAAAAACTTTACCAATAACTAATTATACTTTCTGATTCTTTTTTTCTTTCTTCTCATAGACAGAGAAGTTTTCTGGAGCAGTTCCACAGCTGTCTCTGGAGGACAACCCATCCCCGGTTTCTTCAACAGTAGAATCAGAGCCAGCCCAAGAGGAGCATGAGAACATGAAAAACCTGCTCATTGCCAACAACGACAACAGCAAGCTGCGCAGGAGCCGTGCTGTACGAAGTAAGATACCACAACACACAGCAAATCCAGGTTATATAAGAGTTAGCAGTTTAGACCAGTGTTAGTCCTCCTGCTTGGACCCAACCTTCCTGTGGAATTTAGTTACACCCCTCCTCTAGCACACCTGGTTTAGAAACATTCATTAGGTGATCCAGATTTGTTTAATTACAGTCAAAGAAGTAACATCTGCAGGAAGGTAGATCTCCAAGCCAAACTGAGAACTACTGTTTCAATCACAAAAAGTTTAGTTACCCAGCCCAGATGTAGCTTTTTTTTATTCTGCTACAATATCTGTTAAGACCGTTTGGATGATGATGATTATTATTTTAAGTTTTGTTTATTATTTTGTTTGTCAATTTGGGGATCTTTTATAGAGATTCTTACCACTGGTGGGGACACTTCTCCAATTTCACCAACTCTTCATTTGAGTGATGAAGGTAGAGCATTTGAAGCATGGACGTGTGCAAAGATAAAGCAATTGTGCAGCTTTTAATATATTATAAAACTGTATAATTAATGAGAGCATTAAGGTTGGGTCATTTGATCTCACAGAGGGGCCTTATGACTCTGACAGCACTCCTACTTCACCAGTAGAGAGCCAATCAGCACAGGATGATGATGATGATGAAGGTAGAGTTACTACACAAGCTGCATGGAGTAGGGTTGGGTATCGTGGGTTTTTTTCCCCGTTTTTTTTTCTCGATACCGGTGCCAAATTGATACTTTTAAAACGGTTCCGGTGCCTGAACCGATACTTATTAAAAAATTGTATTAAAAAAAATTCCCCCAAAAATTATGATTTGGCCATTCGCACTGTAAACACATGATGTCTGTTTCATTCATACTGGACACCAGAGGGCGCCCTCGCACAGAAAATCCACATATCCAGTCATAGAAGTAGCGAAACTCAGGAAATCCCTTATGGACAAAGGCATGGCTATTATTGCTGTAATTTGCAGTTAACTGAGTAAACAGAACGTATAAACGTTTTGAATGATAAAACAAAGACAATAAACACTCGACTGTGACACTAGTTTATCTGTTTTATTCAAGCCATCTGGTATTTTCATAATAATGAAGTATATTTATAATCCATCGCTAATCTTTAACTGTTGGGAATAAAAAAAATCGTTGGCAAAGGCTATTATACTAACTCCATCCACCAACGTGTGATTGGGCTAGTCAACATTACAAAAGTAAAACGCGTGTCATCCACCTTTTGACGCGATCGACTCGGGTTCGAATCTGCCTTTTGGCAAACTTTTTTTCTTCCTTTTCAAATTTCAAATCACATCAGAAAAGCTTTTATTTTTTAATAAAAATTAAGGAAATAATCAAGAAGTATCGGGTAGGGTTGGTAGGTGTTGGCAGGGCTTTTGTCCCAATAAGGTGGCATCCATTTAATAATTTGAATTAAAATTAAAATTAACACTCAATTTATTATTGCATACTGTTTTATAATGTATTACAATGCTGCTCGCACAGAAAATCCACATATCCAGTCATAGAAGTAGCTAAACTCAGGAAATCCCTTATGGACAAAGGCATGGCTATTATTGCTGTAATTTGCAGTTAACTGAGTAAACAGAACGTATAAACGTTTTGAATGATAAAACAAAGACAATAAACACTCGACTGTGACACTAGTTTATCTGTTTTATTCAAGCCATCTGGTATTTTCATAATAATGAAGTATATTTATAATCCATCGCTAATCGATGCATTTTGCGCGCCTTGTGTCCCCTTCAAATACTGCTCTTGAGAAATTTTATGTTTATTGTCCCCTCCTACTGTTATACGAAATTTACGCCCCTGTAGGTACCGGTGCCATATTGGTACCGGGTTTCGGTACCCAACCCTAGCATGGAGTGGGTTTGCTCAACTAACAGAATTATTGTGAACTAAATGGTAAATAAATGATTTTTGAGGGGTAACTGACAAGACAGACATGGAAAAACCTGGATGAATAAGCCATTGATTCAGACTTGGCACCCAACTTTGTATTTGCTTGAATATCTGTGAACCTTTTACAAATGACTGATTTTCATTAGTTTACCAAGATGTAATACCAAACTCATTCATTTGAACACTTCCTTTGAAAGATCTTGGACTGGTTTCTAAAGTAATTACGTGCAGTAATGATTGATCGCTACCTGCTGCCATCAGAGCAAGTGTAATTACTGCATTCACTAGCTCCTCAGATGCTCTCATTTCCCGAGTTGTGCTTATGTGAAAACAACATGGACATTCGCGTTACTACAAAGATTTGTTGGATTTGTATTATTAGAGATTTCCGACTTGAGTTCAAGTGCATTTTCTCAGTCGGGAAGTTATTTTTCACGGTGATGATGCTTCTTGCGTCCGTTTCGGAGAACCAGAGGACAAATATTTCAATCGATAGCTCAGGCATGGCACGGCACCGAAATCATCTGCGTTCTGAACTTCTGATTCGGTTCTACATACCGTTTAGGTACCCATAGGCGGAAATCCTGGGGGGGTCGGGGGAGGACCCCCCCATCTGAGGGTTGTCCCCCCTAAAAATATGATTAAAAACCACGCTGTGCATTGTAAATAACAATGTTTTATACTTTAATCAATTGTAAGTAGTAAAACAACACAATCGGGGCAAAAATGCGTTTTAAGTTTAGAAATATTTAGAGTCTCCCCCTCCCTTGCCTCACTTTGGGTCCAAATGCCTGCTTGAGGGAAATGGTTGCCAGCTTTTGATAACAAAACCCGCCCAATTGCTACTCAAAACTAACCGCGTTTCGAGGGGTCCCCCGGTAAAAATCGCGTTCTGGGGCCTAAAATACACGTTATTGGGGTCACTTCAACCCGCGGACATGAAAAACAACCCGCAGCAACAGTGATAAAGTAGCCCAATTCCAGGGGGAAACCGCGGACTTGGCAACACTGTGACTGACACGAGCGCTGTCACGGCGTGACCACAACAGCTCGGAGTTGTGTAATTTGGCACGGTCTCCCTGCTGCACTAATAGTAGTAAGCCATTCCTCTGTGTATAAATCATAGGCGCGGGAATTGGGGGTGCTGCAGCATCCCCCCCACCCCCGTTTTTTTTCTGTGGGCAACTGTTTAACTGTTGGGAATAAAAAAAATCGTTGGCAAAGGCTATTATATTAACTCCATCCACCAACGTGTGATTGGGCTAGTCAACATTACAAAAGTAAAACGCGTGTCATCCACCTTTTGACGTGATCGACTCGGGTTCGAATCTGCCTTTTGGCAAACTTTTTTTCTTCCTTTTCAAATTTCAAATCACATCAGAAAAGCTTTTATTTTTTAATAAAAATGAAGGAAATAATCAAGAAGTATCGGGTAGGGTTGGTAGGTGTTGGCAGGGCTTTTGTCCCAATAAGGTGGCATCCATTTAATAATTTGAATTAAAATTAAAATTAACACTCAATTTATTATTGCATACTGTTTTATAATGTATTACAATGCTGAGGTGCAGATAATTGCCACTATTGGCAATAAGTAATTAGCAGAATATCCTGCTATTTTAATATAGTATAAATAGCTATTTGCACTTAGTGTAAAGCATATCACAAAACAAATACTGATATTTTCACTTAGTGTAAATAGCATCTATCGCTAAGAAAATATGCTACCACACCCCCCACCACGCGCGCCTTGTGTCCCCTTCAAATACTGCTCTTGAGAAATTTTATGTTTATTGTCCCCTCCTACTGTTATACGAAATTTACGCCCCTGTAGGTACCGGTGCCATATTGGTACCGGGTTTCGGTACCCAACCCTAGCATGGAGTGGGTTTGCTCAACTAACAGAATTATTGTGAACTAAATGGTAAATAAATGATTTTTGAGGGGTAACTGACAAGACAGACATGGAAAAACCTGGATGAATAAGCCATTGATTCAGACTTGGCACCCAACTTTGTATTTGCTTGAATATCTGTGAACCTTTTACAAATGACTGATTTTCATTAGTTTACCAAGATGTAATACCAACCTCATTCATTTGAACACTTCCTTTGAAAGATCTTGGACTGGTTTCTAAAGTAATTACGTGCAGTAATGATTGATCTAATGTAATTTCTACACAGGTTTTGGCAGGGTTAACACAAACATGTCTGTAGCCAAAGAGGACAGCCCCAGCTCACAGGACGATGCCACAGATGAGATAATGGATCGTCTGGTTAAATCTGTCACCCAGAATCCCACAGAGAGGGCATCTAGTCCAAAAACACGGAAACGCTCGCGGCTTAACAGAAAGTCATGTGAGTACATTTTGACCGTCAACGCTTTTTTTTTTTTGACCATTGAACTTCATAACCAGTTCTGAAGGTTGTTTTAGCCCTAAACCTGGAGGATGAGATTAAGGATTTAGTCACTGTTTGCATTCAACACTATCTGTGTCCAAAACAAAATGTAATCTGGCTTCAACCATTGCTTAGCTTTCAGAAGCCCCTAAATCTCCCTGTCAGATCCATATCATGCCACCTCTTTACTTCTGCTTGTGCCAGATTGAACTGCCAGACATCTCAGAAATCGAACACCACAAAGAGTCTTTTGTAGGGCATTCTTGTAACTGTACTTTTAAAAATGGAAACTGAACGCACACAAACCTCCAAACCTGAAAAATATTCTATGCAGCTGAGACCTCTTAGGTTTATTTGTAACATGCTGAAGCTGTCTATGGTATATGTCTTAAGGCGCAGTCACATTTACCATTGTTTGCAAATCCAGTCATTTCTATCGGAATATGAATTCATGTTATCGGGAATTTAACACAGGGGAAAGACGTTGCATGTAGACTTTGCAACTGCTCAAGTTGGTAATTTTTGACTGCAAAACTTGGCCAAATATTTTTTCTAATTTGTCTACAACTTTACATTTTTTTTGCATTTACATTTTTGGGCTAGTCAACATTACAAAAGTAAAACGCGTGTCATCCACCTTTTGACGTGATCGACTCGGGTTCGAATCTGCCTTTTGGCAAACTTTTTTTCTTCCTTTTCAAATTTCAAATCACATCAGAAAAGCTTTTATTTTTTAATAAAAATGAAGGAAATAATCAAGAAGTATCGGGTAGGGTTGGTAGGTGTTGGCAGGGCTTTTGTCCCAATAAGGTGGCATCCATTTAATAATTTGAATTAAAATTAAAATTAACACTCAATTTATTATTGCATACTGTTTTATAATGTATTACAATGCTGAGGTGCAGATAATTGCCACTATTGGCAATAAGTAATTAGCAGAATATCCTGCTATTTTAATATAGTATAAATAGCTATTTGCACTTAGTGTAAAGCATATCACAAAACAAATACTGATATTTTCACTTAGTGTAAATAGCATCTATCGCTAAGAAAATATGCTACCACACCCCCCACCACGTGCGCCTTGTGTCCCCTTCAAATACTGCTCTTGAGAAATTTTATGTTTATTGTCCCCTCCTACTGTTATACGAAATTTACGCCCCTGTAGGTACAGGTGCCATATTGGTACCGGGTTTCGGTACCCAACCCTAGCATGGAGTGGGTTTGCTCAACTAACAGAATTATCGTGAACTAAATGGTAAATAAATTATTTTTGAGGGGTAACTGACAAGACAGACATGGAAAAACCTGGATGAATAAGCCATTGATTCAGACTTGGCACCCAACTTTGTATTTGCTTGAATATCTGTGAACCTTTTACAAATGACTGATTTTCATTAGTTTACCAAGATGTAATACCAAACTCATTCATTTGAACACTTCCTTTGAAAGATCTTGGACTGGTTTCTAAAGTAATTACGTGCAGTAATGATTGATCTAATGTAATTTCTACACAGGTTTTGGCAGGGTTAACACAAACATGTCTGTAGCCAAAGAGGACAGCCCCAGCTCACAGGACGATGCCACAGATGAGATAATGGATCGTCTGGTTAAATCTGTCACCCAGAATCCCACAGAGAGGGCATCTAGTCCAAAAACACGGAAACGCTCGCGGCTTAACAGAAAGTCATGTGAGTACATTTTGACCGTCAACGCTTTTTTTTTTTTGACCATTGAACTTCATAACCAGTTCTGAAGGTTGTTTTAGCCCTAAACCTGGAGGATGAGATTAAGGATTTAGTCACTGTTTGCATTCAACACTATCTGTGTCCAAAACAAAATGTAATCTGGCTTCAACCATTGCTTAGCTTTCAGAAGCCCCTAAATCTCCCTGTCAGATCCATATCATGCCACCTCTTTACTTCTGCTTGTGCCAGATTGAACTGCCAGACATCTCAGAAATCGAACACCACAAAGAGTCTTTTGTAGGGCATTCTTGTAACTGTACTTTTAAAAATGGAAACTGAACGCACACAAACCTCCAAACCTGAAAAATATTCTATGCAGCTGAGACCTCTTAGGTTTATTTGTAACATGCTGAAGCTGTCTATGGTATATGTCTTAAGGCGCAGTCACATTTACCATTGTTTGCAAATCCAGTCATTTCTATCGGAATATGAATTCATGTTATCGGGAATTTAACACAGGGGAAAGACGTTGCATGTAGACTTTGCAACTGCTCAAGTTGGTAATTTTTGACTGCAAAACTTGGCCAAATATTTTTTCTAATTTGTCTACAACTTTACATTTTTTTTGCATTTACATTTATGCTTTTGGCAGATGCTTTTATTCAGCGTGACTTAAGTTACATTCAAGGGACACATTTATCAAGTGTGAATCAAACCCATGACCTTGGCGTTGCCGGCGCCTTGCTCAACTGTTTGAACAACAGGAAAGCTTTTGGTTCATCAAAAGACGGTCTTTATACATGTGCAAATAGTTTATGTATTATTTAGATTGCTTGACACTGAATTGCATGTTTTATACTACAGTATGACATAAAGTGTTGTGGTTTTAATGGTGTGTAATGCTGTTTATGTTGCAGTGCGGAGGACTCTGAAGAGTGGGCTGAGCGTGGACGTGGTGCAGGCCCTTGGCCTCGGCAGTACTAACGTGAAGGTCTGAAGCTGGTAGTTCTCATGTGGGGGAAACTGTAGCAAGACCGCAATGAGGCCCTAAGGAGATCTGCGTTAATGACAGGAAGATCTGTGATAAAGACATTTCATGGGATGCCTGCAACTAAATTTGTCTGCCAATCTGGACGATTCAGTGGATGAATCATGTACTTCCAGTTGAAATACAAACAGCTGCATTACTATACAAATACCTGAATGCATGTGCATGATGTCCATTAGACATATCATGATTTGATTGGTACAAACTTTAATGACATAGTATTAAATATCAGCCCATGTTTACTGATGGAGAATAGATGCATTTATGATCCAGGGAATTAAAATGTTATATATTTTAACCAGATGCACATATATTATTTTGTGTAGAGCCTTAGATTGCATAGATTGGAGCACAATTTATCAGTCAAGGATATGTATCTAAGGGTTTGAAAGGTTTTAAGTTAGTACTGCTTTTTTTAAGACCAACCTTTTATATTTTAGCCATACCTGTTAGAATGGCTCAGCTCAAGGTTAGGATCATGGAAGCCAGTAATTGAGATCAGTGCAATAGGGTAACTCAAACACACTGGTTTCCTGCGCCCATTAATGCAGCTAAACCCTGGAATAAACGGCACTGTCAGTAATGATTGACCATTGAAAACTCCTTAGTCTTGTACAGGGTCTAATTTGTGTCTGGAAAGCTGACCCATGTGCACCTGGGTGGTGTTCAACTGAATATCCTGACTACCAAGGAGATCTTGATTAGCGAGGACATAAACTAGGTCACATTTGTTTTTCTTTTATTAATCACAGAGCTCTCTTGATAGGTTTGTGGATGCTACAACAGTCCTGTATTCTGCTGTATCACATTTCTGTCCTGATATTTATTATTGTGCGGTTTTTTGGAGTTCTTTCACCTTTTTAGCTATACCATAGTTATGATGTTTTAAAATATGTGCATGGACCACTCTGTTTCTTGCTGAAGAGAAGTGTTGCGTTAAAGGCACAGTATTTCTGACGCAAATTTTAGAAACTGTTACGAGCACATATTTTAAGGATTTTGTTGGTATTGCTTTTTTGCACGGGGTTATGCTGTAGGAATTTAGAGTCACTATGAATCACTGTTGTTTTATGTTTGACCTTATTACCTGTCTGCATGAGTGCATGTGTTCTTCACTCTGAATGGATCACTATTAGCGTGCTCCAGTGCTGGACGTCCCCGTCACCACTCTTGACACCTGCACAAAGAAAGTTTGTTTGCAATGAAACAGTTTGCAAGTACAGTGCATCTAATGTTAGACATTATATTGTGTTTCATATTGACATGTTGGCCTTGAATCCAAAGACAGAGCTTTGTTTAAAATTAAATTAAATGTTTTATTAGACTCTCCCCCCCGTTTTTATTTATTTGGTTATTGCCAATCAAACAATAAAGGTCATATGCCAGAAATGCTTCATTGTTTTGTCCTCCTGGGGGCGCATGTGTCTCTTTAAATTCAATTGAAAGCTGCTTTATAATTTAGTGACGATCTGTTATTTAGAATATACTGCGTAAATGGTTAAATCGACTAGCTGGTTATTCTGTTATAAAAACAAATCAATTTCTCAATTATGTAATGTTTCGTGGCACATAAGGCGAGTTCTGAATGCTCTGTGACTGTTTTGATGAGGATGATGAGTGACGGCTCTTTAATAAGGACCTCCTCGTGCGCGAACGAATCACGTGTTCCTATACGCCAGCTGCACCTTCGCGAGTTACCGGCAAGTGGAGTGTGTGTGTGTGTTGATGTTGTAAACCGGTAACGGGGCGTCCCGCGGAGGGCTTGCCATCGCAACAGGAGTGTATAAAAGCAATGAAGATGACACGCCGTTGAACACGCCGGAAAGATGCGGGGCTTGAGTTTGCTCCTGTTCATAACGGTGGTTAGTGATGCAACGACTGACCTTTCCGTGACCGCAGCATCGCTGCCGCCAGAGCTGGGGGTAAGCGCCGCACCTGCCGTCACATCCCCCGTCGCCTCCCGCTATATTCCTGAAGAGTACGGGCATCCGGGGATTGCGCTCGCCCGGTCTGCGGAGGAGCCGGCGGCGCCGAGCGCGGAGGACGGGGAGTCGTCTCATCACCACGGAGGAGGCTTCAAGATAGTGCAGTGGGAATGGAGCTACGTGCAGACACCTTACATCATAGCCAGCTGGCTTTTAGTGGCCAGTGTGGCGAAAATACGTAAGTTCTGTTATAATAATGTTAGTTTTGACTGTGGTGTGGACGCTACCGCTGGCCGTTTGGCAGAAAGTGTGGAAAGTTGACTTTCTTGAGGCCGTGAATATGTGTAGTGCGTTTTATTAAAGCGCGGCGCGGTGCGGTGTATTTCGCAGACGGCTGTAAAACGATGCGTAAAAAGCGCAAGGCACCTGCGCTTCCCTTCCGCTGGCAGACGCTGGTGGTTGCCATGGCAATAAAGCCCATACATTTCCTCAGGGACATTGTGATCCAATAATAAAAAAGGGCTTTTAGCTGCACAGGAGATAAGCAAACTGCGTTAAAGGGACAGCACTGTACTTTGCGGTTAGTGATGGGTTTCTATTTGTACCTGTAATTTTCTTGATTTTTCTTTGTTATTGCAATCAGTGCTGTAACACCCCGCGAGATATTTCTGTGCACTGTGAGCTCACCGTGTTCCCGCGAGTCTCCGCGGACAGTAGCGTGCTCTGATTGGCTATGACTCCTTACCTTTCCATCATCAGTCTACGCTGTGTTCTGCCGGTGATGGAGAGTTCGAATCTTGTCCGCGAATCGGTTCTTTCGAACTGTTTTACGAAGAACACGTTTAAAAAGCGCTTCAGTTCTTCGTACCTCAGTCATGTCATCCTCATACGGTCCCTGGCGTCGCATAGCTTTTTATTACGTTTTATTAATGACGATGCATGTGTAGCTAACATATTTTCCCATTTCAGTTTGTTGCAGACTTTGCAGCCATGCAACAACCTAGAGCCTCATTTAGGGCCTAAATATAATTAGCATTTACAATACTAAAATTAATTTGCTCTTGGCTGAAACAGTTTTTGCATTTTTTTTAAATAAAATTTCTGTATTAACGGGATTTAAAAAGTAATCATAATGCTGTTATTTACTCACCCTCATGTTTTTCCAAACCTGTATTATCTTCTTTGTTCTGTTCAGCACAAAGGGGAATATATATATATATATATATATATATATATATATATATATATATATATATATATATATATTTATACATATCTATAAACACTACCGTTCACTTTCAGAAGTTGTTGTAGGGGTGCTTTCTTATTAGAATCAGAATCAGAATGAGCTTTATTCACCACTAAAGTGTGCGCAAACACAAGGAATTTGTTGTGGTTTTACAGGAACACTTGGTACATACATGCATACAAATAACCATATATATATTACACAAGATAGTAATAGAAGTTCACAGAACTGACTCGGCAACAGCTGAGTAAAACTGTTTTATCTGAGCATGTGGCACTTTAAGCATTATCGTATCGCATATCGAATATCGCATTATTTAATGAGTTATCTCATATCGCATTTTTCTTCAATATCACACAGCCCTATACAGTAGTAAACATTTGAAGTGGATCAAAAAAGTTAATCAAAGTTGTCTTAAGACAAGAACGCATTTTGGTTTTAGGACAACTTTGATGAAAGGTTTTGATCCACTTCAAATGTTAACTACTGTGTATATATATATTATTATTATTATTATTAATCCATATATGGAAGTCAATGGGGGACAAGCAACTGTTTGGGCCAGCATTCTTTAAAATATCATCTTCTGTGTTCAACAGAAGAAAGAAACTCACGCAGGTGAGAAACAACTTGTGGGTGAGTAAATGGAGACAGAATTTTGATTTCTGGGTGAATTATCTCTTTAAAACCAGCACTGTTTTGCGTGTGTATGAATAAAACTTTCACACCATCAAGTTATTTCCAGCACGTTTAATTTGGTTAATATTTTTTCGCCAAAATCGATTAGTCAAATGCTACTACAGTCATCACAAGGTGATTCTTGTTTGTGAGTTCACACGAGAACTGTATGATTTTGTGTTATTAGTGAATGAATTTGACCTCTTTTGTTAAATGGTTCAACTGATTCATTGAAAAAATCCAACTCATAGGAATTATTTCTTTATGTGAGAGGTCTGTTGTGTTCAGTTGTGCTGCAGTAAGTAGTAAATTGAGCTCACAGTGCCAAAAGTACATTATAAAAATATCTTAAAGGGGTCATATGATGCTATTTTAAATATCATTATTTTGTGTATTAGGTGTAACAGAATATGTTGACATGCTTTAATGTTCAAAAAACACATTATTTTTCAAATACTGTACATTATTGTAGGTCCTCTATGCCCGGCCTCTCTCAAACGCTTCGTTTTCTACAAAGTCCCTCCTTCCGACAAGTGCAGTCTGCTCTGATTGGCCAGCTGACCCAGTGCATTGTGATTGGCCGAACACCACAAGCATGCATCGGAAATGTATCCTTTAAGAACACCGGAGAATTCTCAGGCATGAAAAACATGACATGTTGTAATGGTACATTCAACTTGCAGACTAAATAATGAACCATGAATGCAGAATTCAGGATTTGAGGACAAAATGGTTAATAGAAAAACTCGCTGTACATTTTGTGGTGTAGTTTATTCATGAAAATACACCCATATATACATACACAAAATGCACTGCCTCCTGTATTTGCATGTGTGGGTGTCTCTCAGGCATCTCTCAAGCTTGTATTTTTGGCTATGACATGCAGTTATATCAGATCATTTAGTTCTGGTAGCTCAATCATCTGTTTCTCCATGATTCAATTGCCACAGTAACACCATCAAAATTCACTCTGAATATTTATCTTGTATCTAGCGAAAGTAGCACTATCTGAAGCACCTGCGCACAGTGTTCAGCTGACTTCAAGTGCTGAGTACACACAGCCTAAACTGGTGTTAAGAAAACAGTACAGCATGTCACCTACATAGGTGACAAAACCACAAAAGGCAAAGTGTTTTATACTGTCCTTAAACTACTGTAACGTATCATTATAGGCACTACCATAACATTGCATCAGTGCATTATTGAAATGACTATGGAGTAATTAGACACACACTTTTGTCACACAGATTAGGGGCCTTATTACCCCTTACTGTGACATTGGCGAGTGTAATTTATGAGGTCCCCCATTCAAAAGTTTGGGATCTGTATTTGTTTTTTAAATGAAGTCTCTTATGCTCTTATTTATTTATTTATTTATTTATTTGCTCAAAATGATTGAAAATATTACTATTGTGAAATATTATTAACATTTAAATAAATTTTTCTGATTTTTAAATACATTTTAAAATGTAATTTATACCTGTGGTGGCAAAGCTGATTTTTCAGCAGCCATTACTCCAGTCTTCAGTGTCACATGATTCTTCAAAAATCATTGATGCTCAATAAATATTTCATATTATTAGTGATGAAAACAGTTTTGCTTCTTAGTATTTTTTGTGGAAATGGTGATTATTCTTTGATAAAAGTTCAAAAGAAAATAATTTATCTGAAATAGAAATCTTTTGTAACATTGTCTTTGTTTACCGGCTCGTTTGATGTCTTTCATGATATAAAAAAAAACTTTAATTTATGCTCAGCTATTGCCAGTGCCAGTTATTGACACTGTCTGCCCATTAGTTCAGCTACAGACAAAAACAAACAATAAAATGCACGTAGTGATGATTATGATCTGTCCTGTCACTTTCACACTCTTATTTTTCAGAGTACTGCATTCAGAACACACTCTTTTCAAACATCCATTCTCACAGTTAAGTTTGAGTCATGGGGTTTTATACAAAGCACCATCCCATTGCACACACACTTTAATTGAATGATAGGCCTGTTCTAATGTTAATAAAGATAATTGTAGTGGGACGGCACTCCACTCTATATTCCTAATTAGCTGTGCAAAAGTTCTCTCTCTGCCTGTCCCTGAAAATGAAGGGCATCGGTTTAATTGGATTTAATATTATTTCATTATGGTTGTAATTATATGTGGACTGATTATGAAAAGCTTATGTCAAGTAATAATTTAAAAGCAGGAGGTCTTGTGATAGAAATGATTAAGCAGTAGCAAGCATCATATTCACACATATGAAGGTCTTTTCTATTACAATAGTAAGAGGTTGGAGTGGCACACAGGTGTCAGTATGAATGAAATGAATCCGTAGCACTGTGTATTTTATATATATATAGGCTTGTTGTTGTTGTTGTTGTTTAGTGTTTGTGTGTGTGCACATGCATGTGTTTGTGCAGATGTCTAGTATGCTTTTTTTGTTTGTACGTCAAGTGTTTTTCTGTCCTTGTGTGAATGACTCATGGTGAGCGGTGATTGTTATGTTTTTTGGCAGAGGTGTGCAGTGTGTTCTCCCTCCTCCACAAAATCACTCAGATCGTGGAGACATTCATAATTAGTGCCATTAGAATCTCTCATTATGCTGTAATGTGTTGTGATTTTACACACTGGCATTTCATGAGGACTACTTTTGTAAATGGAGGTCAGTGTGTGTAATAAGGTTTATTGATCAACATTATTTTCATTAAAATATCCCCAATCTTTATATAGCCAAACTCCTTATAATCTATTAAATTCCCTTTTGTCCATGTAAACACTATTTGTGGTTTATGTGAAGCATAGGCCTACATCTCATGTTTCAGGGTCCTGATCCAGCCGACTTAGTGAATTCGTGATGATGAGGAGGAACCTGAGTTATTGCGGTTATTGCGGTGTGATTGTTCCGCTTCTGATAATCACTTGTACGGTCATTTGATATGTCTGACTTGTGAATGGAAACTGGTCATACTGAATTTCCCAGTGGAAATATTGTGATGAATTCTTGCAGCTGCTCCGTGGAGTAAGGTCGTGCATTTTACGTATGCAGTCACCTTGTTCAGTTTTTGCCCGTTTGTTTCGTTTGTGTATATTATACTTCTTTCTTAAAGCTGCAGATTGAGATTGATGTTTTTGTGACAGCATACTGGCACACTTACTGTCCCTCTGTGACTCACTATTTGTCACTGTAAGGCATTGTACGTTAGAGTGGTGTTGAGTAACAATTCATCTGAAACCACAGTGTGGAATTACAGCATCCGCAACTTATAAACTACTCTTTAAATGAGGCTTGTTGGCTGTTGTGTGCCATGAAGCTTTTAGCTTTTTGCATGCTGTTTGGTTTGTTTTATTATTTTATGCATTTGGGTGCTTATAAAATTGGCACATGTGCATCTTGAAGCAATAAACTCCTAACAGGTGAACACTTTGACACGTATGGGTCATATGATGCTGCTAAAAAGAACATTATTTTGTGTATTTGGTGTAATGAAATGTTTATGCGGTTTAAAGTAAAAAAAAAACATTATTTTCCACATACTGTACATTATTGTTTCTCCTCTATGCCCCGCCTTTTTGAAATGCGTCGATTTTTACAAAGGTCATCGGTCTGAAAAAGCGAGGTATGCTGTGATTGGCCAGCTATCCAATGCATTGTGATTGGCCGAATACCTCAAGCGTGTGATGGAAATGTTACGCCCCTTACCATACTGTGATGCCCTGTCTGGCCGGAGCGACGATTCAAAAACATTAAAACTCATTTCAAACGAGGCATTTGTTTCATCCAGTGGGGACATAATTACTGATTATAATGACTTATACTGTCTTTTTACGCTTTGCGTTGCATTGAGAGAAATGACAAACAACAAGTGCTACTCTACTGCCCAAAACTCGCGTTTGAATCATCAGTGGCAAATCCTTTAAATGAAACGTACTTACGTTAGTCAAAACTGCCGGCATTGTAGTCTAACGTTGCTCTCCCAGGATCAGTAAACAGTCTTAATTTTACAAATACATAAACAGTTTATTAACCGTCAATAAAATGTGCTGCACACATCTGGATATTTGGGTTAAACTGTTCTGGAACAGTGTGGTAATAAATACAACTTAACCACTGATTTGTAGTCGTGTCCTTATTTGGAAGACCAAACAAAGTAGTTTCGCTTTCACAACGAACAACACAGTGGCCTAGCATGAGGGGAAGCCCCGGCTTAGCGTGTGCTGAGGCCGAGATAAAGTGAGCTGAGGCCGGGCTAGCGTGAGCTGAGGCATCGGGGTCGAGAACGGCGTGCCCGGCAGATCCGACGAATGAGCGGCAACCACATGTGACGGACCCCGGGCTGGACTCCGCTTCGTCCACGGTGAAAGTTGATGTATTCCCTCAGCGACCAGAACGGCAACATAATATCTCAATCCATTTTACCTTTGTTTCTCTGTTCTCTGTTTTCTTTGCTCTGTAATCTACAGTGTTCCACCTCTCTCAGCGGTTCACCACAGCGGTCCCGGAGAGCTGTATGCTGATTCTGCTGGGTCTGGTTCTGGGTGCAGTGGTTCTTATCGCCAGCAAGAAGCAGCCGTACCAACTAGACCCAGGACTTTTTTTCCTCTTTCTCCTGCCAACTATAGTGGGGGATGCTGGGTATTTTATGCCAGCACGGCTCTTTTTCGACAACCTGGGTGCCATTTTGATGTATGCTGTGGTAGGTACATTGTGGAATGCCTTCTGCACTGGATTCTGTCTCTATGGAGTCAAGATGGCAGGAGTCATAGGTGAGTTATGGGGGTGTCAGTTCAAACTAATGGAACCAAATATGACACTTCTTAAATGATCATAGATCATACAGTGCTTGAGCCATGTAGGCCTGTTTTGGAACTTTTTATTAAGAGAAATTATGAGTGGGTAAGCATTTCAAGAGCTAAATGTTCCTCAATAAAAACAAGCATTGCTGAGGGGACAAATTAAAATAAGAAATATTATGTTTATATTTTTTAGCATCTTACTTAAGATTCTTAAACCCTTCTTGGAAGTTTATTGACTTCCCCCTAGTGGGCCCTGACCCCGGTTGCAAATCACTGCTTTAATAAATACCATAAGCTTTTAAATAAGCTATTACAGGTCTTTTGTTACTGTGATTTTACTTCAATTGCTTATTTCATTTAGAAAATACTGACAACTGCAAGATAAAAGATGGGAACGTTCAATAAAGGATTCCATTTATTAATAATATTTATCACCACAATTTTATCACAGAGTTATCTGTTCATTCATTCTATTCATAAGTCTAAATACAGGTGATACTGTAAGGTTAAAGGGATAGTTCACCCAAAAATGAAAATTCTGTCATTAATGACTCACCTTCATGTCGTTCTAAACCCGTAAGACCTTCGTTCATCTTCGGAACACAAATGAAGATATTTTTGATGCGTTCTGACAGCTCTCTGACCCTCCCATAGACAGCAATGTAATTAACATGATCAACATCCAGAAACGTAGCAAGGAGATCGGTAAGATAATCCAGGTGACATCAGTGGTTCAACAGTAATTTTACGAAGCTACGAAAATACTTTTTGTGCGCAAAAGTAATAAAAAAAAAAAAGTAATTTGTCTCCTCCGCGTCACCCTGGTGCCATTTTGGAGAGTATCAGCTGGACGTAAAAAACAAATCAAAGCACAAACAACGTAGGAAACAGATCCGGCGTGACAGAATAGCATACGCTGTTTACGTTCAGTGGATATTCTCCAAAATGGCACCAGGGTAATGCGGAGGAAACTAATTGTTGAATAAAGTCTTTTTTTTTTTCTTTTGCGCACAAAAAGTATTCTCATAGCTTCGTAAAATTACAGTTGAACAACCTGATGTAACATTGATTATTTTACCGATCTCCTTGCTATGTTTCTGTAGCTTGATCGTGTAAGGACCCTTGCTGTCTATGGAGGGTCAGAGAGCTCTCAGGATGCATCAAAAATATCTTCATTTGTGTTCCGCAGATGAACGAAGGTCTTACGGGTTTAGAACGACATGTAGGTGAGTAATTAATGACAGAATTTTCATTTTTGGGTGAACTAACCCTTTATGTCTAAATGTAAATGTAATTGGATGGACTCATTAATAATTCAGTTGTCATCACAGGTCACATTTATATATACATTTTTTACAACTGCTTTAAACTTAGCTCATCCAATCATGTTTCATATTGTGAGTTTTTTTTTCAATGCAAGTCATTGCTGCCTTATAATTGTTGATCAAAGTAGTCCATATGACTTAGATGTGGTGCAAGGATGTTTTAGTTCAAGAAACCTATTAAGTAAACATTTAGATGTTACTTTCATCCAAGGCAACATTCAGTACTCTTAGCACAAGGACATTCCCACATCAAGTGCACTATGTTGAATCACCACTTGCAATGTTTGAAGCTACCATCACAGATCTTTAACTACTACACCACACCATTAGCTGTACTACGGCCAATTTAGTTGTAATTATTGACTGCAGCTTGTTTTTGTACTGTGTTTGTGTGCAGATGAAAAAGTAAATGCAGGTTTGATGGATTTCTTGTTGTTTGGAGCTCTGATCTCAGCTGTGGATCCTGTAGCAGTGATCGCTGTGTTTGAAGAAGTCCATGTGAATGAGACACTCTTCATCATTGTCTTTGGCGAGTCACTGGTCAATGATGCTGTCACTGTGGTGAGTCATTAAATCATCTTCCCTTGTATGACTCTTGTTTGCTTCGATCCTTTACTTATAAAAAAACTAATTACTTTTACTATTTAAGCATGGGCAATGTGACAATGTAGTCAGCACTGTGAGTGAGAAAATACACTACCATTTAAAAGTTTGGGGTCAGTAAGCTTTTTTAGTTTTTTTTTGGAAAGTCTCTTATGCTCACCAAAACCATTACTCCAGTCTTCAGTTTCACATGATCCTTCAGAAATTATTGTAATATGCTCATTTGCTGTTTCCTATTATTATCAATATTGAAAACATGTTTTTTTTTCAGTATGCTTTGAAGCATTGAAAGTTAAAATAATAGAATTTATTGAAATAAAAATATTTTGTAACAATAAAAAAGGCTTTTCTGTCCTTTTTGATAAATGTAATGCACCCTAGCAGAATAAAAATATTAAGTATTAAAAAAAAGATCTGTAGTACTAGTACCATAGACACTCAATCCTGGCATGACTGATATTGGAGTGTTTTGATATACCTACTTACTCTAATTATTTTCTTGTGGACATAGGAGACTTAAGGTTAGCTTGGGGATTTAAAAGGCTCAGGGAGAGCTCAAGGCAGATGAGGAAAATCTCTCCATCCTATTGTTTTCTCTCTGTTCAGTCACATCTCTGTTGTTATGGTAACATTACACCAGAACCCTCTGCTGTAGTGCTGACATGATTATGTTATAAAACATAACCAAAAGTCATTTACTTGCTCTGGAGAAGCGAATCGATAGTAAATTACTTAGGCTAAGACATTTCCACTGAATTATCCAAACCATTTTGTATTTTTTTTATATAATGACTCTGAGGTCATACAGTAGCTACTGGTTAGATATAAACTGATTTAATGTTAATTGTTTTTGCTATTTATGTGATATAGAATATAAAGCTCTTGCTTGTGCTGTCTTGAGTTTGTGTTGCCTGTACGAAAGTCTGCCCCTTTAGTTTTATAGCTATCACATTTGCTGACCCATATGTAGAGGATTACGCCCAGTGACCCTTCATCACTAAACACCCCACCTACTTCACCTCATTCTACCCTACAACATCAGCCTCACTCTATCTGGAATGTTAAAAATGTTAGATTTAATCATTAAAAAATCTTACCGACCCTAAATTTGTAAATGTTATTATCATTTAAAAGTATAGTGTTTTTGTTTTTTAATGTTTCAATGTCTATTTTAGTTTTATTTTTTAGATTTAAAAATTGGCAAGGGATACATTTGTAACTATCTCAACAGGTCTTATATAAAGTGTACATATCCTTTGTGGAAGTGGGACCAGGAAATGTTCACTGGCTTTGGCACTTTGGCTCATTTATTATTCTAAACCACGAAAGCTGAAAATGTACCATATACATTCATATGATTTTCATTTAACTTCTTTAGTAATTTATAGCGGGTTGAGATGCTGAATTAATCATTGCACTAAACATTTACAATGGCCTCAACTGTAACAGTTAGCCTATGTATTTGCTCAACATGTCATTTGCAGGTGTTGTAGGGCAGACTTGGTTCCTGAACTGGTTCAGACTGGTTCCCCTGGACAAGATTGATCAAGTGGTGATGTCATACGGCGGTCTCCGAGGTGCTGTGGCTTTTGCACTGGTGGTACTTTTAGATAAAGAACAGGTGAAGGCTAAAGACTACTTTGTGGCAACAACCATAGTTGTGGTTTTCTTCACAGTCATGTTTCAGGTAACTGATTTATTTTTTCTGTATTCCTGCCAATTTGTGTTTTCCCTCTCCATTCACCTTTACAGAATCATTATGTGTTGATAAAAGTGTTTTTTGTTCTGTTTCATCTTTCCTCAGGCTCTGTTTATTATTATTACTTGTGTGTGTGTGTGTGTGTGTGGGTAGCATGCAGGTAATTGCCTTGCAGGGATGACATTTCCCCACTGCTGTGTCAAATTGCTGTTATTTCCAAAGCTGGTCTGACACAGAGATACTAATTATGATGAATGGAGTGATTTTGAAGGTGCTGCCTATGTGTAAATGTGTGTGTGTGTGTGTGTGTGTGTGTGTGATGTGCCCATCTGGCCAGTGCCAGGCTTTTTCTTTATTCCAATCTCATCCATTATTTAAGGCTGGAGAATCTCTGGAGTGTCTAGGCGTGTGTTGTCATATCGTTGTATCCAACATGCCACAGTATATCTGACTGCTGAAATCATTAAGATATACTGCCAAGCTTTGGTTAGGAACTCATCTGTCAATAGATCCCACAAATATGCATGCTGGTTAGACAAGTATGCCTTTTTTTGTATTGCTTTAAAAAACATTTAAAACATTACATTTACATTTTACGTTTACATTTAGTCATTTAGCAGATGCTTTTATCCAAAGCGACTTACAAATGAGGACAATAAAAGCAGTCAAAACTAACAAAAGAGCAACAATATGTAAGTGCAAATGACAAGTCTCGGTTAGCCTAACACAGTACACGTAGCAAGGTGTAATATATATATATATATTATACACACACACACACACACTCACACACAAAGAAAAACAAGTAGATATAGAATAGAAAAAATAGAAAGCTAGTGTTTTTTTTGTTTGTTTGTTTGTTTTTTTTAAATAAAAAAAGATAAATATAGATCAAGTAGAATTAAAATAGAATAGAAAGTGTTAGAGTTAGAGGGTCAAAGAAAGGTGTTTAATGTATAATACATATATAAATAATATAATTTTTAACACGGTCAGTCTGGGGATTAGTGGTGAAGGTTTTTCAGCAAATCTATCTGCAGGTTACATTGATATGCTAGCACTGTAGGTGCCTACAAAGTGACTGTCTTTATGAGTGAGACATTGACTCATTCATTTAGCCTATTTGTTCAAAAACAATGATTCATTCAGGACCGAAACAAGGGGCTGGCTATTTTGAAAATTGAAATTTGAAACCACATACTACTCATATTATATATACTATATTAGGATATGGAAGGAATAGTAAGAGTAGTATTTATAGTAGTGTGATATAATTCCAAATTCAGCCACTTTTTTTTATGACTGAGTCATTTGAATCATTCATTCAACCAATTCATTTGAAAACAGCTGAATTTGCAACTTCATATTAGCATACTGCTATTAATTTTTTGTCTTATACAAGTATGTTAACAATACTAAGAGTACAACTACAATTAAATGCTTTTTTAATTTCACTCAAAGATTTTTTTGGCTAGGTAATTAAGACATTTTTAGTACAATTTTTGACGTAGTGTCTGTAGTTCTGTACTTTAAGTACAGTTTTTCAGTGTTTAACACCCCTGACATTCAGCAACTAAACTTGAATGAGCGAGTCATTGAATCGTTCACTTAAACAACACAAATAATGACTATGTTTGTGCTTTAAAACCTCTTTCATTGGTAGAGCAAAAATTCACAAAATATCTGGAAATATAAGATAATCAGTATTAACGTCTTGTTTATTCAAACTGTTGAATAAAAGCAATATTACAGTTGCGATCATGCTGCTGGTCTAAATTCATTCATAGGCCACAGGCCTGCTGATTTTCTAAAAACAGCATTTTTGCTAGTGTGCTTAATTAGGTAAAAATGTTTATTTAAAAGACCAAACAGACTGACTTGATGTTTCTACTAGAAATATGAGCTGTGATATTTAGTTGAGAGGTTTGGAGGTTTCAGTCTCTCTGATTTGTTGATATTTTCCTGATCTTTCCTCCCAGGGTTTAACCATCAAGCCTTTAGTGAAATGGTTGAAAGTTCCTCGCAGCACAAACAGAAAACCCACCATTAACGAAGAGATCCACGAGCGTGTGAGTCAATATCACTTCCAATACTCTCCTGCCTCTTTTCTGTCTCTGTTTCTCATCACCTGTCTCCCTCTGTCCCTGCCTGACTGCCTGTGGTGAAATGTGTGAGTGATGATGTTGACTTTGCTGTCTGTGCAGTGCTGTGATCTGATGACTGAAACGTCAGCATTGCGACAGACAGACTGACGTTAGACTCTTCATTCCAATGAATTAATCATCAGAGCTCTTTTTTGCCTTTCCACAAATAGATGTGCACATATAGGCAGAGGTCACACGGCCCCTTGCCATTTACCTCATCCTCTTTCTGAAGGCCTTACACACCCTGCTGCTGCATGCACACTGCGGTACTCAAGGCTACCTGCTGAGCACTCTAAAACCTGCGCTAAAGATAGACTGTAGTGTAGCTGAGCTGGCAGAAGAGATACAAAATAAAATAGGAGAGATTCTGAGAAAATAAAGGAGAAGAGATATTCTCTTGGAAAGCAGCAGTTTCTCAAACCTTATGTGCCATAGCCATTTTTAGAATTCTTTTGTTGTTTTTTTTACATTTCATGGCATCGCTGTCGAAGAGTAAGCTGGAGAGGTGCATTTACTTGTTCTAGAGTTAACAAAAGTTATCATGATTATTATAATGTTTGAGACGAATGTCATATCAAATGTCTGTAAAGTGGGAAGATTTTAAAACAAGCAGTTCATTCATAAATCCATAAGATCTTATATTCATGCTGTGGACATACTGATATGAATTTGTGCTCATGAATCGCCAACAAACAACATGAAGTAAATTATAATATCGATATCATCATCTCATACTGAGAAAGGGAAGGGGGACTACCGCTTTACAGCATTTAATACATAAACACATACATGGGAAACTATTAGTTAATTTTTATAAATTAAATGCTAAACGATTTTTACATACATTAAGCATTTAAAAAAAAAAAAGAGGTGACAAATGAATTTCAGAAAGTGCAATTCTATTTTGACATGAAATTGCATGTAGAATATTATGAGCTATCACAGATTGAAATTGTATTCACACATTTTAACACAGTTTCTTAACAAGCTGTTAACTAACCTACAAATGAAAACAAATTACAGAGTTAACAATTAAATGCATATTTCATGTCAGTAGAAACACAAGTTTACGACACCAGAAGACAGAACACAAAACATGAAACAGTGCAGTGCTGAAAAAGGAAGGGCTAAATAAGGTGAATAGACCAACCAGATTCAATGAACTTTCAACACTGAACTGCTCCCCAGTTGCCAATATCTAGTTCATTTACAAGGAGATATTTTGAAAAATGCCCATATATTTTATGCAAGACGTAGAGTTTTTTTAATCTCAAGGGCACCTAAAAATCCTATATACATTTTTCTAATATATTTCTAATATGATTTTATTTTTCTGTATGCCTGTCCCTTATCTCCTTTCAGAAATTTTTATTAATTTATGTTTTGTTTTACTATCAAAATAGCCTTGGATGCTGACATGAAATAAAGAACCTAATAAATAAATCTAAATGCAGAGATGTAGATAATGAAATGAAATAGCCATAAATAACTTACACAAGCACTGAACTTGTCTGTTCTTCTGTGTTCAGGCTTTTGACCACATTCTGACAGCTGTGGAGGACATAGCCGGTTTGAATGGATACCATCACTGGAGGGACAAGTGAGCGGCACTTATACTCTTATGATAAGAAATGTGCTCAGTGAAAATACAAGAACTAAAACGAATCATTGTTTTTTATCCTTTAGGTGGGAGCAATTTGACAAGAACTATTTGAGTAAGTTGCTGTTGAGAAAGTCTGTGTACCATAAGAGTGAACTGTGGGAGGCCTATCAGAAAATCAACATCAGAGATGCCATCAGTGTCATTGATCAGGTAAAAGTCTTAATGTAGCAATTTATCTGGTATACAGTTTGTATGTCAGCATTATTTTTTAAAGAAATTGTATTAGATTTGGGATTTGCTTGTCCTGTCGTTAAAAAAGTAGAATGGAACGATCACGGTTGTCATGTATGGTGCTGCTTTTCTGCATTTGGACATACAGTATCTCTCCATGGCCCTTTTTTGTAAGGGTTTCCATGCTGTATTATAATTGTTGACCGCTAGATGGAGCCCACACTCAAGAAATTAGTACTAGGTAAAAACCTCACTGCTGTGCAATACAACAATAAAACTGCTATAAAACCACGTATATTTTCATCTGCTTCCACTCTGTAAAAGTGTTTATTCATTCAGCCTTACTCACAGTCGTGGATCATAGATTTTCAATACATTTTCAATTCTAACTTTTTGAATGAACATGAACTATTGTAGCAATGTTACTTAATGTTCTTCATAAAAGTGATACTAGAGTTTTTTATACTGGGGGTTCTCTGGGTTGGATGAGAGTCTGGTTGGGGGTCTCTTGGCCTTTAAAGGCTGAAAGCCCCTGGATTATGGCATTGAGCAGAGGAAGCACTGAGATCTTTTCTCAGGCTCAAGAGAGTCGTATGAGAAGAGCTGAGGATAATTCCTCTCTTTGTTAGTTACCCTGACGCCACTGTGTCTCTGCCAGTATTAGCCCTTTGAAGGCATCTGATACCTGTCAGCTCCAACATCAAACCAATCTACAAAAATACTCAGAGATGGCATCATACAGAGAGAGAGGGGGGGGGAGAGAAAGAAGGGCCTCCAGTAGAGTGATGTATTTAAATATGAATGCATAGAAATGCACGTCATAATTGTTACACACTTCCCACTTGATTCAATCTGATCAGAAAAGTTTAAAACACCTGGAATGTTAGTCACACAGCACTTTTGTCCCTGAGCGAGACCATTTCCTGTACCCTTGAATTTCATAGAGCTTGGCTTCCTGAGAGGAGTTATCAAGCTAATATTAGCACAAGATTGAGCGATAGAAAACCTCTGTTCTTATTCGGACCACCCAGTAAAAGAGGCACAGAATCACTCTTTTAATATGGGCAGGGTAAAAACTAAACGTATAAACCAAAACATGAATTTAAACATTTTTAAAAAAGAGAGAGTTTTCTTTTACTTTTGTTCTTGTACATTTGTCACATTTCTGCATGTCTTTCCCACAGGTGTGTACTTACATACTGTGTGTATATTTTTAATGAACTATGAGCTCATATGTAAGAG